CCATACCCTTCACCGGAAGCTTCATATTTTCGTCAAGATGTGACTTCATTCTGACTGACCACTGCTGAGCACCTGTACACCCAGCAGGTCTCAGAAGGCTCAGCCATCATTCTCGAGTCCTTCACTCACCTGTCCTCCAGAACCAGGAACATTGCAGAGCCAGTGATCTGTTATAGCAGCTTCTAAGCTATTCTGATGTAGGTGCAAATGTGAGAATTGCTGTCCTGATTCTACCAGTTTGCAGGGCTCTGTCCTCCATACTTGGGTGTCACCACCCTTGTCCTCTGCACCCCTTTCTCTAAAACTGCTCTCCAAAGTCTCCTTTTTGGTTGCTGGCACCCAATGTCACTTAACTTAGGAAGTCTTTCTTTACCTCCAGGCCTGCACTTGTCACCTGTTCAGTAATCTCTCCTCAGAGTGGTCTTCACATATTGCACCATCCCCGCCTTATAATACTTTTCTTGCGCTACCTATATGACCACTGTTCGTATCCATTTCAAGCAGGCCGCTTGAGACCCTTTCCCCTCACAACTACAGCAGTACCCATGTTCAGAGACGCTCAGTAAAATGTTGGATTCACTGACTGCTCCTAGTCCCCATAACCCCTTATATAAAGGTAAGTACATTGGTATCCCTTTGGCGAAAAAGTCTGAGAAAAGATCTAATATCTATTCTCCTCAGAGGAAGTGTTTTAAAATGACTTCATCAGTCTCATCAAAATAAGGAACAAGTCTGCTACACGCCCTCTGTCTGCCCACAGATGTTCACATGTGATGCACCCCAATTCTTTCTAGCATCCTCCAGCGCCTTCTGTAAGATGTGAGGTCTGCCATCAAGCACGCAGAGCTGAGTGAATACACTGCTGTAGGCTCGGGCTTTTGTGTCATGAAAGAGCACATCTTTTTGATTGCAGTTGTCTGGTCTCGGGTAGCCTGAGTGCAGCCCTTGGTCCCTTAGCAACTGCAGAACACCAGTAGCTCTTGGGGTCAAGTAAACCTCTATTTATCTCACTTGAATTACCAAGTATCAGACCTCCTCAAGATGTATTTGATCCGAGGTTATATTAAAGATGGGTGCTTCAGGGACCGGAACATTTTGCATCTTACAACTTGACTGCATCAAAGTGAGTTTTGACTAATTACAACCTGGAAGTCCTCTAGTTGCATCAAATGCATCATGGGCACTAAAAGGCCTTTCACATTTTTCAGTCTCTTTGAGTACAACTTCCCACTCTTGCCACAATCCCTAAATCTGAAATACTCCAAAGTCCAGCCCCTTCCTGGTGGCACAGTGGGTGAAAGTGCAGCACCATGAAACTATCTGCAGCCACTGAGGCATGAGTTTGATCCCCGGCCAGGGAGGTGACCCACATGGCGTGGCAGACCTCTCCTGACCCGCCTGCTGCTCCCCTCAGCTGTGTACTTCGACAGCTGGCCTGTTCTGTTCCTCACCCTGTCTCTGGTGAATCCTCTCACTGCTTCTACACCTCTGGCCTGTACCCCAGTTCTGTATGCACAAGTAAATAAAATCTTTTAAAAAAAAATACTCCAAAAACCAGGGGTTTTATTTTTTGTTTGTTTTTTTAGAACTAACTTAGTAGCAAACCTGTTTACAGGTTATATTTAGCATGGATTATATTTAGCATGGAATCCACTTAGCATAAATTCTAAGTGCAGAAATATTTTACTAAAGTACACGTCTCTTCTCCAGTGTTCACTGAGGTTTTACCACTAAATATCCAATATATTCATTGTATTAACCATTTAACTAAAAAACAAAAAAGTACATTAAGAACTTGTCTAGGCTTATCATAATGCTAATAAACAACAATCTTTATGGATTGTTTTCTTGTTTTGTGATATGGCATGTTCTTTTGGGGTTGATTCTAGAAGTTCTGTGTAAACATGCATATGGACAATCCAGATCATTTCTTCTTAACATCTATGGGTTCCTATGATCTGCCACAACAAATTGGCAACATGTATTTTTCCAAAAACTCAAGGTGGAGACTGAGACCGCTGCCATGGCTTCCCCATTTAAGGGAAACACCCCAAATCACATGGCAGCCCTCTTGAGAACCTTGTAACACTTTGATACTCACTTCTATCTGAACTGTGACATTTGTGAAAACACAGGAAATTAAATTGGAAAACTCTACTCCTATACATCCATCAAGTGAAAACTTTATGGGATAAAGCTTTATCAGTTTAATACATCTAAAGCACAAATATTAGAGTGTTTAGTCAAATTTGTAGTCTCCATAATTTTTTATAACATTTATTTATTTATGCATACAAGAAATGGGGTACAGGCCAGAGGTGTGTGGGGGGGTAAAAGGATTCCCCAGAGACAGAATGGGGAGCAGAACAGGCAGATCTTCTGAAAGACACTGCTGAGGGGAGCAGTGAGTAAGACAGGAGAGGTCTGCTGTGCCATGTGGGTCACCTCCCTGGCCTTGGATCAAACTTGTGCCTCAGTAGCTGGTGATAGCTTTATAGTGCTGAGACTTTAACTCCTGTGCCACTTGGGAAGCCCTCACATTTTATTTATTTATTTATTTGAATTTTTAAAGAAAATTTCTTTATTTATGCATATAGAACTGGGGTACAGGCCAGAGGTGCAGGAGCAGTGAGAGAATTCACCAGAGACAGAGTGGGGAGCAGAACAGGCCAAATGAACTATACTGCTGAGGGGAGCAGCGGGTGAAACAGGAGAGGTCTGCTCTGCCATGTGGTCACCTCCGGGGGCGGGCAGTGATTGAACTCATGAGGAAGTGGCTTTAGCTTACTAGTGCAGTGCTTTAACCTGCTGTGCCACCAGAGAGGGCCAATTTTATTTATTTTAAAAATTGTGAATGGTAAGTTGAATTCTTCATGGATTTTCTTCTAATAATCAGAATTTTTCCCCTCACATCTGTGTGTACTGCAATAGTGCATTTTGTAAATAATTTCTTTGTCCACTTTGGAGTTCAAAGCCTGAACTCCACTACAAAAGCATTTCACTTGTTTTAGTTCACAAGGTAATGACATGAAATGAAGCCAAAATATTTCTTCTGTTGCCTTAAATGCACCTGATTTCTCAGTTGTCAGAGTGCTGTCTATAACTCCTGGGTTGTGGTATGAATTGTAGGGAATTTTGTAACGTGCCAAAAAAAGGAGAACACTAAGCAAATGGTGTATTTCTACACCATTCCTGCCAGGAAGAATGGCAAGACACATCTTAGTGCATCTAAAAACCTCACATAGTCAAAAAACTGAAATCTCCATTCAACAAGCCACAAATAGAAAGTGAAGACACCAAAGGTGGGGGTGTGATCTTATCAGAGATGCTTTTGGCTGGGAACACAAGACACTAATTGTGGTGGAAACGTGGCAGTTAAAACCACGGGGGCTAGAGGATTGAGCATTTGTTTTAATTCCGATGATGGTGACCATATCTGATGATGATGATGTTAGAGCACTGAGTACCTTTTAAGCAGCTGCTCCTTGGGATGAAGTCTGTTAGAGGAGGGCAAGGAGAGAGGGAAGGCCATCACGACAAGAAAGGACAGAGATGAGCTTATGCTAGTGTCTCAGTGCACTTGACCTTAGCCACTGGGTACGTGAGTGAATGTGGCCCTCCTCTTACTGACCTGTTAGGCACGCTTGAGACTAAGGCTTCTGTGGTGGTGTTTCTCCCCTAAGGGGACTGGGCAGAGTGTCCTTCCAGAGGAGTTCTGGCAGAAACTAGGGAGGCTCCAGAAGGATCACAGGCCCCTTTTCACTGAGGACACCCCATATGCCGGCAAGTTTTACTTTAGTTCAGTGAGCTTCATGCTCATAAGAAAGGAAAAAAGCACGTGTTTACTCTTTCACTCTCTTGGGAAACCAAAGCACCTGAGCAGATAACTTTGCAATAAAGGTCAAAGCAGAGGCATGGCTTTCAAACCCAAACACACACTATGCTCACCAGGTAAGCTCTTCAAGTACAGCCCTGCATGGCTTACCCAGGGGCCACAGTCTAAGAAACACCATTTTAGGCTATATTGTAGTGAGAACATCAGTGTAATTACACAAACCAAGCTGGTACAGCCCACTATATACCTCAGTTAGAGTTTAGTTCACGCCTACTGGGGCCATTGTTGTATTCTTGTCCCAGATGTCGTTAAGTGACATATACATGGACATATACCCCCTCGCCCCCCAGAACAACAATGAGGCGGCCAGGGAAGTGGGTGTTGTTTTCCAGATTGTCAACCATGCTCTGGGCTGTGATGGAGTCATTATTCTGCCCTCCACAGGAGAGCCTAAACATACTCAGACACCCCCTCAGCCCTCACTTTGCTCCCTTTCAGGGGAAGCTGGGCTCCTACTGCCAGAGGAGATGGGGGCTGCCCACTGAGCACCCTGTGGTCAAGCACAAGCTGGACAGGGCGGCCAGGCCCACACACAGGAAGAAAGATCTCGGAGGAGATAACTGAACACTCCACTGAGGGCAAGTTTAATAGCAAGGGGCAAAAGGAGGCAGAATTAAGAGGAGAAATAAAGGCAATTTTAGTCGTTTTGTAGAGACTTCTTTTTGCTATTTGAGTTCTTCACCTTCTCTATGAGTTATATGTGGTCATATGTGCAGTTCTGAAATGCAGTGTATGCAGGAAGCTTGTCATTGTGGATCATGGGATGAGCTGTGCACAGAGGCACAATGTTAGTCATCCAGCATTGTGAAGATGCCACTAGTGAATCAAGAAGTCACTGGAGAAGTTCACCAAAGAAGAATTCACAGAGAAGTTAAAATTTAGGGGAAGAATATTAACCTCCCTCCTTAAGCACTCAAGCTTAGCCAGCATAGGCAAAATGAAATTTCAACAGTCCCTGCTAAACCTATTTGAAAACCAAGCCAATTTGGTCCAATAAAGGGCCAAATATCCAGACATCAATCCCCTCCGTTGTCCAATCAGAAAATGCTCAAAGGAAGATGGCAGAACGTATAACTCTGTGGAATCACCTCTCAGTTCACCCCAAATAGTCCTCAGTTTTACTTTCATCATAGTTAAAAATCTTAACCATAAGTAAAAAGCTTGAGATTATTTTGGGGGGCCAGGTATATTAAAATAAAATCAAAAAATAGAAATATTAGATATATACATGACAGCATAAGAGAAACATGTGATATAAGCAGTTTCAAAGCTTACAGTAGAAAAATTTAGTAAACAAAATCTCTTGTATCCTTTGCACAGTGGCTCATCTGAGTCTTAAAATCTCATTTTCCTTCATATCCATGTATAAATAGTATCACAACCCATCTTGCACAATTTAGAAAAGATTGCTGAGTCACAAAAATAATCCCAAATATGACATTTTTACTTTCCATTAGGCAACTAAAGTTAATATTTGATCATTAAGACAATGTTCAAATCATTTGAAGCAATATAGAAAATTCTCATTTTAGAAGGGCCTATTAGGTTCTGCAGAGATTACACTCTTACTATTCTTCCAGACTACATTGTCAAAATTCTGTAAGTAGAAAATTGTGGCATTGAAAAGTTGGATCATTAAAAAGGCTTTTTCTCAAGGGAGAGCATTTTCGGAGGCTCTTCTGTCTCCTGGGTGGTCTGGGCGAAACCCTGGCAGTCGGTCCCACAGGTAACAGCAGGCAGCATCTCAGGGGCAGAGCAGGAGGCCAAGGCTGCCTGCCATCTCTCACCGGAGAAGAAAGTATTTAACAGCTTCAGATTTTAGGAGGAGCAATCGCTAAAATCTGGAAAAAACATTTCTAAGTTTCTGACTTCACCTACTAGGTTGGATTAGTAATTTTTAAACAAAGAAGCCAAAGCATAGAAGAATACAAAGCAGTGTCCAGATAGGCCTCTGTTACCCTAGTTTCATAGGTAGGTCCAGTTCTGCTGCTATTTGAAATTGATTAAAATGGTCTCTGAGTCTCTGAGCCTTTGAGTTACATGTCCAATTGTAAACAAGGGATCACAGGGGGTGCATTTTGGATAGTAGAGGTGTTTTCTCTCAGAAGGTTGTCAGATGTTGGTCCAGCGAAACAAGACTGCCGGTGGGGACAGTCTGAGCATTGTCAGGCAATGGAAACACTTTTCTACATCCAACATGCTCTTCCTGAGTAATGTAGCCTCACTTCCAGGAAGGAGGGTGGCAGGTGATCCCAGCACATGGATAACTAGTGCAACCAGTGGTTGTTATTTTTCCTTTAGTCATAAGGCAGTGGTCCTGTGTGCGGCTCTCACTCTTCCTGGCTTTAAGGCTGCTGCTGATACTGGCCCTCTGTGGCCGTGTAGAAATCATCCAGGACGCTCTGCAGGTAGTCGAATGTCGGCCTCTCCTCTGCCTTTTCTTTCCAGCACATTTTCATGATGTCATAGAGCTCCTCTGGGCAGTTTTCCATGCGGGGCATCCTGTAGCCTTGTGACAGGGCGGTCATCACATCTGCATTTGTTCTCCCTGAAGCAGAACAAAACACAAAACAAACCACTTAGAAACTTAACAGAGGGGTAAGAGTGCCAGTGGTCTTTTTGCTGCCCACATCCTGCACTGATTATTGACAAGTGTAGAGGCTGTTATGGGCTAGCTGTGTCCTTGCAAACTCATATGTTGCAGCCCTTTGTCCAGGACCTTAGAATGGGGCTGCCTGTAGAGGTGAGGGCTTTTGAAATGTAAAAATGATGCCTTTGCAGTAAGCATTAGCCAATCTGGCTGGTGCAATAATAAGAAACTAGGCTAGCTGGGGTTCAGGCAGACAAGAAGGATCCAAGAAGACAGCCATTTATTTGCAAGCCAAGGAGATGCCCTTGGAGAAGCTATCTCTGCTGACACAGTATTCTCACATTTCTGACTTTCAAAATTTAGAGAAAATAAATGTCTGTTGGTCAAACCACCCATCTATGGTATTTCATTACTACAACCCTAAAAAAAATGGATGTGGAAGCTAAGGAAATTTCTGCAAGCAACTAAATATATAAGTTTTGGTAGAAAAAAGAAGAGAATAGCATCAATTTGCTTGGCAGAAAAGAGAAGAGTGTCAATTTGCTACCCCCCCAAAACAAACAAACAAACAAACAAACAAAAAGCTGAATATGGAAAGTGTAGTGGGAAGAAATATTGGGGTAAGACTGGAGGTGCTGGGGGGAAAGAATTCACCAGAGACAGAGAAGACCAGAAAAAGAGGATTATTAAAATATACTATAAAGAGAAGCAGTGGACAACACAGGAAAGGCCTGCCCAGGAAAGGGAATTTGAGGCTCTTTTATACTGTTTTCTCGGGCTTTCTAACTTGGGCTACTAGTTGGCACCAATTGTCTGCTGGGATGTCCGGTCTCAGGTGTTGGCCTTTGACAAGGACACATGCCCTGGCCTCTGATTCTGCATTCCTGCAGCTGGACTTTCCTGGTCATGGTGGCATCTTTGAGCCTTGGCCTGGAGGGAATTTATCCATGCCCTCATCTAGCCATGCCTACCAAACCTGCCTGCTAGCCGGAGTGGGAGGGCTTAGCTTTTAACTGTATTAAATGGTACCCCAACAATAAGTAGAAGACAAAGCAAGTTCTTTTGTATAATGCAAGGATGCTGGACTTGACTGAAACCTTTTGAATTAATTATTCAAACCCAGCCCCAGTCCTTAATCTCAATTTCTTTCCTGGCATTTTTTCAGCTTCTACCTGTAACACCAAGGAAAAATTTCACATACATTATATCATACCATTATTATTTTTTCAAATCTGGTTTTCATTGTAAGTTTACTTAAGGAAGCCTTAAATCCATCAGGTCAATTGATTATATTCCAATTGTGAAACTGTCTCAGTCTCTAGTTCAGCCCAGGGCCAAAGTTCACATTGACTCTGGAATTTGCATGTTTGCCATGTCTGGTAAGGAATCTAGGGAGCTATTCCTTCTGAGTTCTGGTGGCTTCTAATATGGTCAGTGTCTCAGGTTAGTTCAGAAGCTGAATTGCTGTCTTTCGTATTGAGAATAGCTTTAAGGGAGGGGAAGATGCTTTTAACAAGCTTGGCCTTATTACTAAAATGAGACAGAGTATAGAGCACTCTTAGCCATTTTATCTCTACTCAGCCACTCTGGACCTTTTGCCTGTCTTGTGGGGGCTTATTCTGTAGGGCTATGAGCTCTCGAGGAGTATGTACTCTGTGGAGAGTATATACCATATCTGGCATATGAGGCGCTGCATTAATTTCCTTTCTTTCTCATGCCTATCTCCTTTCTATAGACACCAATTTTACTACTTATGGTCACTGGAAAGGTTCTAAAAACTAACTGGCAGCTTTAGAAAATACGTCTTTTACTAGATTTGAAACAAAACTCTAGGTGTAGTCCAGAGTTGTGTGGCGGTGGTGGTGACTGAGAGGATTCACCAGAGAAAGAGTGGGGATCAGAACAGGCAGATCTACTGAAATACAGTGGTAAGGGGAGTAGGGATGAGACAGGAAGTTGTGCCATATGTGGGTCAGCTTCTGGGCTAGGGATCAAACTCATAGTATAATGGTGATAGGGCTGAGACTTAACTCCTAGGTCCAGGGAGCCCCTGAAACAAAACCTTTTGAATTTATTTTCTAATCAGTAACTTTCAAATTATGAGTCGCCATTCATCTGGGATCCACAAGTTGATTTTTTTGGAAAGCTACCAATACTTTAAAAATAAATGATGGCACAATAAAATAGAAAAAAAAATCAGAATGTATTGCTAAAAGTCAGTGTAGCTTGGTGAAATTTTTGTTGGAGTGAATTTCTGTATAGTTTTTACCTCAGGTCAGTGGACTCTTAGTTAACCTTAACTGACCTTTCAGTGGACTCTTAGTTAACCTTAATGTCTGCAGGACCCAGCCTAGATTTAGATCCTTGAAAGAAGATGTGATTATTTCTGTCTTGGAAGAGCCTTTGTTTTTGAAACTGAAAGATCCAAGCAAACTTCATAATCATTAAGATCTCTTGAAAATTGTTTATAGGATGAATCAATTTTGCTCAAGTTTACTTTTGAAACACCATCTTCAAATATTTGTGTAACTGGAATGTAATAATTGGAAGAACTCATTTGATTCTCATTGCTTGAAGCCAAAGGCCTGATTTGCATCACTTTCTTTATTTGGGCTTCTGTGCTCCATAGAATTACATGGCTTCAGCATTGTCCTGGCTCTTATGTAAGCCAAGTTTACCAGGATACATTTAAGAAGAAATCGCCTTGCTTCCTTCTTTCTACGTGTGCCTTGAATGAAAGGCTGCAGTGCTGATGGGCAGATTAGTGTCCACGATGACATAAACAGCAGACTACAACCTTGGTTGGGACTGTCCTTTTCATTTTCTTCCTGCAGAACTTTCAGCTGCATAAAAGGTCAGAGCGTGCCCAAGAAAATATTTTTCCCTCATTCTTCTATGTTCTCCTAATACTGAAAAATAACTGATGTAGATTGTGCTCAGAGAACTTGACTTGAAAAAAGAAATAAAAACAAGGTAATCTAAAAATCTATCCTTTAATGTACAAGTAAGCAAGAAAAAAAAATAAGTAAGGCAGTTAGATGACAAGTCTTGTGGAAAAAAAGGGAGAAGAAAAAAGAACTCTACCAGACACTAAGATGAAACCCAATACTTGGAAACTGGTCTTTTGATAGGCAAACACGTGGGGGCTAGTGATCTTAAAAACAGTTCATCTTCAGGGCTCTCCCTGGTGGTGCAACGGGTTAGAGCACTGTATTATGAAGCTCTTCAAAGTCACTGCAGCACAAGTTTGATCTCCAGCCAGGAAGCTGACCCACACGGCATGGCAGACCTCCTCTGACCTGCCCGCTGCTCCCCTCAGCAGTGTACTTCGTCAGTCTGTCTGTACTGCTCCCCATTCTGTCTCTGGTGAAGCCTCTCACTCACCACACCTCTGGCCTGTATCCCAGTTGTATAAGCATATATAAATAAATATTAAAAACAAACAAACAGGCCCTCCCTGGTGGCCAAGAGGGTTAGGATGCAGTACTGCAAGCTAGGCTCAGCCGCTTCAGTGTGAGTTCGATCCCCTGCCCTGGAGGTGATCCACATGGCGCGGCAAAATTCTCCTGACCCTCCCGCTGCTCCCCTCAGCAGTGTACTTCAGTGATCTGCCTGTTCTGCTCCCCATTTTGTCTCTGGTGGAGCTTCTCACCATCCATGCACCTCTGGCTTCTACCCCAGTTCTGTATGCATAAAGAAATAAAATTCACATCCAATGATCTGGGTGTGACAACTTAAAAACAAACATTTTCATTTTCCATCCTTCATTCCTTCAATGAACATTTATGGTGTACTCTCTATAGGTTATGAGCTGGCACAGGGCTCTAAGAGAGACACAGATGAGTAAGACAGTCTTGTCCTCACATAATACACAGTCCAATGTGGAAGACACCTCAGGAGAGGGAGGTGGAAGGGGCAGGAAACGACACCTGGGAAGGCATTAGCAGAAATTAAAACCTAGGGAAGGAACAAAAGGTAGTTCATGAGAGATTAATACAGGAATAAAAGTCGGTGGCAAGAGATAGGAAGCCAGTAGCTCTAGGAACCATGACAGTTATCAAAGACACAACCCTCCCTCCCCTGTGTGCGTGCGTGTGTGTGTGTGTGTGTGTGCACAGAAGTACCGGCTACCGCAGATCCAACCTCCCACCAGTAATACTACCAAAAGAGCAGGTTATTATTTTTTTCTGGGCATGGCTTCTGGCTAAAGTGAGTGTTTATATAGAATGAGATTCTTGATTCTGATTTACATGAAGCATGAAGATGCTAGATATATCTGGTAAGAAACCGAAAAGGTGATGCCTCAGAAAACTCAGTCATTTTTAAACCTCTTTTCTCTTTTTTAAGAAAAACCAAAACATCACTCATAAAGATATCACTATTTTCTTTAGAAACTGCAAACATACATGTGATTGCAGTTTTGGCTTTAAGATAGCTGAGGTAAGGATATTTTGCCCCACCCCCACCATCACTGCTTTAATCCACCCCCAAACAAAAAAAGAACAAGAAACAGAAACTCTAACTACTTTTTTGATATGATTAGGAGACCCCAGTAAGCAGAGGCAGAAGTGGTCTGAGTCGAAAGGAGGAACATAAAACCAGAGCGTGCAGGACAGTGACACCATAAGCAGACAGCTGTTTTATCCCTTGCCCTCAGGGCTCGATGCAGGGTCAGCATGCCTGGGGGTGGTGTATCTGTGGCCACAGCACCCCTGCACTCAGAGCCCACCAAGGGGGTGTACCAGGGTAAAACAGTTAAGTGGTAACCTTGGGAAGGATCAGTAGAAGGTCAGAAGCTGCACACTCCCTAGGGGAGCCAGTGGAGGTGGGGGGTCAAGTGTGGGCCAGAAGCTGCAGAGGAAGAGTCAGCACAGAAAAGCAAGACACAGCTGACATGTTTGGTGGGGGTTGGGGAGGGGGACAGACACTTACACTGGGTGAAATAAGCCAGACACAAAAGGACAAATAAGGCAAGATTCCACTTAACAGGAAGTGACCAAAGGAGACAAATTCACAGAGAATGTAAACTAGAGCTTGCCAGGTGCTAGGGGTTGGAGGGATAAGGAGCTACTATTTAGTGGGGTAAAGATATTTGGTGTGGGAAGGCAGGCTTAGAGTCACGAGCAGGACTGGGGAGGTGATCTTCTGAAGAAACTAGAAGGCCCTGGAGAAGAGACCAGCTATCCTGACCCTGGAGGGTGTTGTGAGTGAACCCAGTGATTCAGGGCCCTATGGGTGGGGTGGCAAGGCGTTAGAACAGAGTGGAACAGGAGAGCTACCATCTTGCCAGCACTTGTTTCAGACGGAGAACAGAAAATGGACAAGAGGAAATTTTCAGAAAAGCTGTATATGAAAATTACCCAGAATTTATGGCTACAAGTTTTCAAAGAGAAGAGCCAAAACAAGCTCCCATCATAACATAAAAACAAGGTACACTGCAGTGAAATTTCCAGGATGAAGAGAGAGCATGGGTTCTTCCAAAGAGGGAATGCAGTTCTAGGCAGAGGATGAATTCAGAAGCCATCAGTGCATAGCTCAGAAGTTACTGCAGAGCTGGACTGAGTGCAGGAAATTTGTTTAAAATTTTAGGTGAAAATATTTGGCATCTCAGTATTTGTAAGCTAAGCAAATTTGATGACTGTGATTACTTAGTTATTTAATTTTCTTTAGGAGATGAGTGAGTCCTTATCAACAGAAAGTGTTATTTGGAAATGTAATCTGTCTTCTAATTATGAATTAGATGCAGAATATTAATTTTTATATCTCTACTTTTCATGCAGACAAACCCCAGAGTCAACAGTGCATTTGAGATTCACTAATTGGTGAGAATAAGTGAATACTTGCGAAAATAAATTTCCTCCTTTGAGTCTATGGGAACTAAAAATCTGAAAACATATTTAACAAAAACACAATTGCCAAAAATTAGAAACCAAAGATCTAGAAAATCAGTAATATACTACCTCATTGACCAAGGACAGTTTTTGATAATGACACTTTTTAATCTTTTTTCCCTCTAAAAATGCGCTTTACGTTTGATTTTATGTTCTTTTTCTCCTTTAAAATTTACTAAGCTAGTCATACAGCTTCTAAACCACTTTCTTAAAAAAATAAAAATCAAAACCTGAACATATCCAACACTTTTCCAAGTAAAGAATATACTCCCAGATAACTTAACTCTATGGGGATGCCTTCTGCAAGTAGTTTTATAACAATGATGGATGTGACATATTTTGGCAGTGTTTACCATGGTCTATGCTGTCTGTGAACCAATCCTGTATTTAAATAACTAAGATTGCTGAATTCTATTCACATTCTCTATGCTATACTGTCTTATCACATACACTTCTTGTGAGTGGAAAAATCTTATCAGTCTATATTTCAAAGACCTACAGAGAACTCATGAGACTCAACAAAAACAAAGGAAACAATCCAGTCAAAAAATGGGCAGAAGAGTTAAGTATGCACTTTTCCAAAGAAGAAATGCAAATAATCAACAGGTATATGAAAAGAATTCTCAACATCCCTTATAATCAGGGAAATGCATATCAAAACCATCATGAGATATCACCTCACACCAGTGAGAATGGCCCATATTAAAAGAACTGGCAACAACAGATGCTGGCATGGATATAGAGAAAAAGGAGCCCTTTTATACTGCTGGTGGGAATGCAAACTGGTCCAACCACTATAGAAAGCTGTGTAGAGGACACTCAAACTATTCAATTGCTGCCTTATGATGCAGCAACACTACTCTTAGTAACCTATGCAACGGACACAAAACTATTCATTGGAAAAGAAACTTGCACGCTTGACTTAATTGCAGCACTATTAACCATAACTAAGATGTGGAAACAAACTAAATGCCCCCAAACAGATGACTGGATATCAAAGATGTGGTATATATACACAATGGAATACTATTCAGCAATCAAAGAAAGTAAATTAATGATATTTGCAGCAGCATGGGTGGAGCTAGAAGAAATTATGCTCACTGAACTAAGTCAGAAGGAAAAAGAAAAATTATTGGATGGTTTCACTTATAGGAGTGTAGGGTTAATGGAAATGATCAGCATGCCCCCCCTCCTGCCATTGGCTTTGAGGATCAAAACCTGTAGTCTTATACATGTGCCTGATGGCGACACCTTGAGAGTGAACATATGCAAGTGGGTACACCTGGGTCTGGAGGCTGAGCACGTAAGGATGCAGCAGAGGACTGAGCTGGCAGAGGACTGTGCAGCAAAATGCAGTGGAGACCAGGGGAGAGAACACAAGAGAATGCCAGAGAGCCCAGAAAGTGTAGATTCATTCTCATGCCCTCATGCCCACCCTCACATGGCTGCCTCACTACAAATGGCAGAGAATGATCATTAAAGGCCAGGGATTTCAAAGCATTTTACTGAAACCCTGTTTGAAAATTAACAAAAAAGCACCACACATTCTCATTTCTGTTTCCTCCCCTAGCAGGTGCACTACTTTGAAGAAGCACCTGCGTCTACCTCTAATCCAGCCTCCGATCCACAACACCTGTGATGGTGCAGGTCCATTCTAGGTACTAAGTGGTAGAAATAATTAGTGAAGGAAAAGCACATGCAGTCAGTTACCTAAGAAGGCAGAGCAGTGTCTAGCCCAATTTTAGCATACTTCCAATAAGGATAATCAAAATCAAGTTCTAGCACAGAGGCTTATTCTTAGCTTGTGGAGAGTTATTGTTTATGCCTGATATTGTTTACTTTTGGGCTAATATATACCACTTGAATGGAAGTAGGTAAGTAAATGCTACCTGGATAGGGTATTTTTCCATAGGTGACGATTTCATACAGGAGAATTCCAAAGGACCAAACATCAGATTTAATAGTGAAACATCCAAAATTGATGGCTTCTGGAGCTGTCCACTTAATGGGGAATTTAGCACCTACAAGAGAAGACAAGACAACTATTTGATCCTCTCAGCAGAAACAATAAAATTCATGAGGGTGTAACACCCACACTTTCCTTCTTTTGGGAAATTTTAATAATGTATTTTAAATCAGTAATCTGCACATGGTAAAAAAGATACAATCTTCAAAATATTTGCCTCCATCTTCTGCTTCCCTTTGGGTATTTCTCTCTTAAGAAGCAATGTTTCTTCTGTATCCTAACAAGGATATAATATCTAATACACTATAAACAAGACAAAGAACATGACACAGAAAGTAAAGACCTCCAGTCTGAGCTTGGATATTTTCCCTGAACAACAGACTCTAAAGCATCATTCAGTGGTCAGATTTTCTCTCATCAATCCACAACATGTTTATGTGGAACACATATCTCTTGATGTGTCTGTTTTTGTGGATAAATGTGTTTTAGCTCATACCAGTAGGAACTTCAGATGTAACTCCTAACTTTATTTTCACTGTTAAGCATTTAGGGTTAGCAATATGATCTGCCTAAAATGAGCCAATAATGATGACAGTGTGCTTCTTGTAAGGAGAGGTGAGATTAAGAAATTTAATCTTTACCTGGGGATCACAGGAGAGACACTTCTAGTTCAAGGGAACCCACAGGGTCGCTTTGAATACAGAAGTTCAGACACAGGCTCAGATGCACTGGAAGGCTAGGAATTGCCACCCAATCACATTTTTTTTTTTTAGTAATGTATTTGCTTTTATCACATCTTTGCTGTAGGATTTTTTTTTAGCATCAGATCAAAATTGGAAATCTGAGAATAAGACCGGAGGAAAGCCTCAGGGAGCCGAGGCAGTGTGGAGAGGTCTTTTGAACCTTCCAGCATTAACTTACCCCCACCTACTTCCGCTCGCATAGAGCAGAAGCACAGGGTGTTTGGGGCAGGGACTGGACCTTTGGGGAATTGGCTCAGACACCAAGCCAGGGGTTTGAATCCCAGTTCTGCAATCTCCAGGCTGGTGGTACCCTAACCAATCACCTTCCTCTGTGTCTTCTTGGCACCTGTATTTGTAACATAGGGAAATAAAAGTACCTCTTCAGGTTGTTGTCAGGGTGAAGGGGGTTGTTCTAAGTGCCACCCACAAGATAAATCCCAACAAATGGTAAATATATTGTGGCCTGGAGATAGCATGCTGTTTAGTCAGAGAGCCTGAGATGGCCACACTGTTACTTTCTCGAAATAGAATGGCTATTTGGGGGGAGAATTTAGACAGATTCAGCAAAGCCGGTGGAATAAATTCTAGCTCACATATGTTGAGGCTAGATCTTTTAAATTTGAATTTCTAGGAGATTTTACTGAGCAGCTTTTACTGAACCTGTTCTTCAATTATACAATGATGCTGATGAAGAAACCTATCATGTAGAGTTATTGCAAAGTTAAATGAGATAATATATGAAACACACTTAGAATAGTGTCTGTCACACTGCAAATGCTTGCTAGAGTTTGATTTTTTTAAAACTCTTCTTCCTTACATGACTTTCTTTCACCTTATTTTTTTGCTAAGGCAAATTAAAACCAAGGACAAGTTATAAGCCACTTAAAAACCAAAGGCTTGAAGCAAGAGAACCACCTTAAACACGGAAGACCCAAAGATGTTGAGTCAAAACCAAGTATTTAGTCTGTGGTCTTCTTTGTCAGTCATTCCAGAAAACACATGTGTAGTTAAAAGGCAAGCAATACTTGTCTGACGATTTTTAGTAATCTCAAGAAAAATGCTTGGCTCTCTGAGAAGAGAGAAAGCACTGTAAAAATACTCCGAGGGCTTTTTGTGAGGCCATCAGAATCCTCAGATCATAAGTAACAGGAAAAGGTAGTGGAGCCCAGGCAGGTTCTAGCCCCAATGATCTAGGGATAGAATTAGGCAGCCTCAGGGCAGTGCAGGCAGAGACCTCAGGAGAGTTAAGGAAAGCTCCAGAGATAAGGGCAGCAAATTCCAAAAGGGACTAATCAAACACCCCAGGACTAGGGGCAACATTCCAGAGCAAGGATGATAAAGAAATGCATGCTGGCCCTCCTAGGTGGTGCAGCAGGTTAAAGCACTAAGAAGCTAAAGTCAATTCAGCATGAGTTCGATCCCCACCCTGGAGGTGACCCACATGGTGTGGCAGACCTCTCTTGACCCTGTCCATTGCTCCCCTCAGCAATGTACTTTATCAGTTGGCCTGTTCTGCTCCCCACTCTGCCTCTGGTGAATCCTCTCACTGCCCCTGCACCTGTACCCCAGATCTGTGTGCATAAATAAATAAATCTTAAAAAAAAAAAAAAAAAAAGAAATGCATGCTAAGGGCTGGGACACAGAGACTTAGTTCTGGCCACAGAGCCATTAGGGCAGTGAGTGAGACCACAGAGAACTGACCAATCACAGAGAGAGTGGTGGACCTTTAAACTAATTCTGGAAAAAGGTATATATTACCTGAAGCTTCACTCCACTTCAGCTCCCTTGCCCCTTCCTGGCCTGGTTCCACCGGCGTGGGGGTCCCACAATATTTCTGTTCCTTTTCTCCCCAATAACCTTTGTCTTTCTCTAAAGCAATTTGCCTTCTCGCTTGCTTGCCTGAGTGACTGAAGTTCCTGGTGTGGCTTCTTGAGACACCAACCCATGGTGGCCTAGTGGCTGGGACTCAGCACTGCTACTGCAGCCTGGGAGCCGTTCCTGGCTGGGAGACTAGGCCTGAAACCCTGACATTTCAGTATCATAGCACCATGCAGGGCTAGGAGATTTAAAGCCATTCTGCTCATCTTTAGAACATGGGAAATACATATCCATATATATAATACGGAAAATAAAGTGTGTTTTGTAGCATAATATTTATTTCTGTGTGTGATAATTTCCATGCATTAATTTGTAATGAAAAGACCTGGATATAGAATTACTGTTAAAAATATTTTCTCTATATCTAAGGAAATTGTACTTAATTGAGTAAAAAGCTTTCACAAATAATATTAAAAGCTCCTGATCTTGTCAGTTCTTCATTTTGCTATGTTTAATTAAAATACAAATGTTAGCCTCTGTAAACTTTACCGAAGCATCATGTGAAATTAAATGGGGCAGTACATTTTTTAAAATAAATATTATTAATAGAATGGAACACTCAACAGAAAAGTACATTGTGAATATTTTATCAATTGAGTCCTTTGTTAAGTGATGATTATTGAAATTACTTAGTCAAATCAGGCCAGAAAAGGCAGAAGCCTAAGCAATAACAGACTATCTAAAGACTCCTTGCAGAACATACCTTCCCTTGCTGTGTACTCGTTGTCTTCAATTATTCGAGCAAGACCGAAATCTGCAATTTTGCACATGAGTGACTCAGAGACCAGGACATTAGCTGCCCGTAGGTCCCGGTGAATGTAGTTCTTCCTCTCGATGTATGCCATTCCCTCAGCGATCTGAAAGACAGAATACGGCTCTCATTTTAATATTTAAGGGAGGTGGCCACAGACGGCCAGAAAGGAAAACCAAAGAACGTGAGTTCCTGAAATCATTTCTTGTATATCAGTCTCATTCGAATTTCAAAAAGCAGTGAGTAAATGGATATTCACCATTTTGAGTCTTTTTTAAATAACTGCACCCCAAGTCTCCAATGAGGATATTTAGTTTTCAACTTGATTTTTTTTTTTAAGATTTATTTATTTGTGCATACAGAACTTGGGTACAGGCCAGAGGTGCAGGGGCGGCAAGAGGCTTCACCAGAGACAGAGTGGGGAGCAGAACAGGCAGATCGCCGAAGTACACTGCTGAGGGGAGCAGCGGGCGGGTCAGGAGAGGTCTGCCACGCCATGTGGTCACCTCCGGGGCAGGCGGGAATCGAACTCATGCTGAAGTGGCTTAAGCTTCTTAGTGCTGTGCTCTAACCCACTGCGCCACCAGGGAGGGCCCTCAACTTGATTTTTAATATCTATTCTCACAACATTTTCTAATGTATATACATAGAACCTGCTAAAGACTTCTAAATTCTGGCAGTAGATATATAGACATCATTGTCTTAGTTTTCAAATGAAAAAGAGAGCCTGAGAAAGCAGGAAGCTAACACAAATAAATGGCAGGATGTCAGGCAGAGGACACCCTGGATAGGCAGCATCCTCGGGTCAGGTTCATCAAAGCCCACAGTACCAGTTTCCCCAGTTCTTTCTGCAATCCCCTCCAAGGTGGCCAGAAAGCTCACCCCAGGACAAGTACGACAGCAAGAGAGGAACAATCAAGGACTGAAACAATAAAATCGGGGAGGCAAGCCATTTTTCATCACTTACCACACAATCAGAAATTTAAGGAAATCAAATAGGTTTTTAATGGAAAATATTTCCAGATGGCAAAGATAAAGGAGAGAGAGGGAGGGAAGTCCAGTCCAGACAAGCAGTTAGAGGCAAAGTTCTAATTCTGGTTAAGTCGCACAGGAACGAATGGGTTCTGTCAGCTTCTGCCTTGAACTCTTAGTGGCTCAGCTGTGAGGCCCTGCCATTCCGTACTCATTTGCAAAATCATCCTCATTTTTTTTTTTTTACCCAGTTCCAACTCTGGTTTCAGTCAGGTCATGTTTCCTAACAAAGGTCTGGCTGGCTCATCCATCAATACTAGGTGTGTTTCTTCCCCCTGCTAGAAAGCCTTTCCTTTTCCCAGTCAGTCCCAGCCATGCTTTCCTGAACTGCTCTTGGTAATTTCTCTTCCCTTTACCCCTTGGTGGTGAATTTGTGTAAAGCTCATTTGCACCTACTAATTATAGCTTTGTCATTATTTTTATGCTGTTTCATGGTGCTTATCATGCCAGAGAACAGACCTCTCTCTGTAGAAATCACATATCTTTTCTGTTCACACTTGATCTGTTAAAACCTCTGAACTTGTCACCAAACTTTTACCTGAACTAAAGAAAACTTTTTGGAAAATGTTGGGTTTGTAGTAGTCCCAGAATGCTATGCTGTTAGAACACGGCTGCAGCTGCTGTGGGAGTTGGACAAATGATATTGCTGTGGCCACAGAATCTGGCACATAATAATCCCTGTGTACGAGGCAGGACTCACAGTGCTGTCAGCGGGTGGCTCATGCCTGGCTGATACCAAGGAACTTTCTTGAACAGAGAAAATCGTAAATCACAAAGAACGAAAGAGGTTGGATTTTTTTCTTTCGTAGAAACAATACGGTAATGTACAGCTTGTCACTAAGACTAATGAGTGGCACTGGAGCAGGGCAGACATGTTGGAGAAGGCCCAGGCTCTGCTTGTCAGGCAACATGGGGTCCGATCCCTGCCTGCCAATTCGGTTAGATGTTACTTCTGTGAAGGACTGAGCTATAGTATTCCTCCACAAAAATATATTAATCCTTTGCGCAAGTCCAGCAAGGTCATTCTTTACTTCAAACGGGCCTTGAGACACAGTCTGAACTCCCTAACACTGTGGCCAAAGCTTTGCTGACTCAGTCCCTGGTGAGCCTCCTGCTTCCTCACTGCAAACATCTCCAGTCCAGCCTCCTGGTTTCCATACCTGCCCCTGCTTGCAACACCCCCTCCCTGCTCCTTTCCCCTGGACACTTCATTCTGCAGGTGAGCTGGGCTATCACCTCCAGCAGGCAGCCTGGCAGACTCCTTCCCCTCCAATGTTTGTGACCCATGTCTCCTGCTCCTTACCTGTTTACTTTTGATTATGACAGGAATGAAGTCACTTAGGGCAGGTGTAGAGTGTGTATATTTCTATTCTTGGGTGCTTAAGTAATACCCTGATCATTAGACACAAACTGGGCCAGGAGTTCGAAAGAGCCCAGTTGGCTATAATCTCAGCGTAAGTCTGAAAGTGCAGTTCACACCAGGAACCTGTGTGGGACACTCCTGCCAGGAGCTGAGTAAACACGCAGATATATGCCAGAGGACACTGACAAAGTACCAGGGACCCATATCGCTCATCTTGATAAGAGAGTAAGACATCTTGGGAACTTGTTGGTGAGACTTTATCACACATACCTAAATGCATACAAATCTGAATGCATTTTAAAAATGATTCTCTGAAATAACCGCAGACTTGCAACAAGCCTATTTACGTTGGCCTTCTTTTTCATGTCAGAGTACTTGAATGAGCTCATATTTCAAACAATAATAATAGTACTGTATTCACCAAGATCATGATTCTAAAACTTGGCATTAACCAAGTTGAATAAATAATAGATATGGGAGCAAAATAAATGCTTTCAGGTAGGATTTGCTTTTGAGGTCATTAAAGACTACAACTCTCCTCTTATGTAAAATTCATTCTTCTCTGGCCTACATGTATTGTTCTTTCTTGGTTTCTTTTTTAAAAAAAATAAAAAACCTTAATTTTTTTAAGTTGTATTTACTTTGGCTAAAGTAACTCCAGCTCCATTTTGCAATAGCAGGAAGAAATCAGAGACTACCTTGGCTAATGGAATCTAGGGTCAACTTTTGTTTCACAGAATACCTTCTTCCTCCCCCATTTGTTGACACTGTAGAAATACTTTAGGAGAGAGGCAGGATTTATACTTTAACCCTGGACTCCAAAATGTCACATGAGTAACAGAGATGGACTAGTTATTGAGATGCTTCTAGAAGTCAAAGTTTTCATTGAGGGCCCTCTGGGAGGCACAAGGTTTTAAAGCACAACACTAAGAAGCTATCAGCAGCCACTGCAGCATGAGTTCAATCCCCACGCAGGAAGGTGACCCACATGGCCCAGCAGACCTCTACTGTCTCACCCACTGCTCCCCTCAGCAGTTATATTTCAGTCAGTCTGCCTGTTCTGCTCCCTTCTTTGTCTCTGGTGAATCCTCTCATACCCCACAACTCTGGCCTGTACTCCTGTTCTTGAATGCATAAATAAATCTTAATTCTTTTTCATTGAAAGAATACTTTTGTATTGAGAAGAGGAAAATACTTTTGAAGTTTCCTCTCAGAATTCAGTTTTTGTTAGCCCAAATTCCCTCAGAAAGGGAATTATAAACTCTCCCCAATAGAGTTCATCACAGGAAGTACACATATGCTTATTTTGTGTTGTCTTATTTTGTCTGTTTAGAACAGCATTTCCCAACATTTTTTCAGTATCATACTAAGGAAGAAGAAATTAATTAGATTTATATTTTAAATTAAAGTTTATTTTTAGCAGGAGAAACAAAATACAAAGAAATAATATTTTGTCAGGTGAGTCTGAGCTGTGGTAGGGGACACAAACTATTGTAATATCTAAGATTTCCTTCTTCCCCACGAACAAATTTTCATTCCCCAAGGAGTGATGTGCCCATTTAAAAGGCAGGGTTTAGAAGCATCTTCTAGAAGCTAAATGGAGCAAAAGAGGTTTAAATCAGTTTGCCTTATGATTCAAAATAAGGAATTTAGGGTCTCCCTAGTGGTCTAGGGGTTAAGTCTCAGCACATTCACTGTGAGGTCCTGAATTTGATTCCCAGACAGGGACCTGACCCATATGGTGCAGCAGATCTCTTCTGTCTTTCCCATTCCTCCCTCAGCAGAGTATTTCAGTAATTCTGCCTGTTCTACTCCCCACCCTGTCTCTGGTGAATCCTCTCACTTTCCCTGGCCCCAACACCTTTGGCCGCATCCCACTTCTTGTATGCATAAACAAAAATAAATCTAAAAAAAAAAAAAGGATATGGGCTGTTCAAAAAGTAAATTAATAATTAAAAAATAAAAAAAGAGTGACTTAGCTAGATGATGCTATATTGTTGGCATGGATGAGGTTAAGACCTATCAGAATGAAAACAACCAGGCTAAAATTAAGGCAGCAAATTATTCCTTCATCCAAATGACCCTATATTCTATAAAAAAGCAATAACTGTCATTCCCTCTGGAACTGTGATGGGGCCAAAAGGAAATTACTTTCCCAGAGACACATCAAAGTTTAGTGGAATGGCTTGGAAGGGATTTTAATTTCCCTTTTGTGTATTTAGCAGTTAAATTAAATCTTAACCCTAGAGCCAGTATTTCCTAACTCTGACTGCATCTGGGGAGCTCTTAAACAATACCACTATCTGGGTCTCACCTTAAACCAATTCATCTTGAATCAGGATTCTGAGGTGTTGTCCGGGGAACCAGTCTTAGCCCTGTGATGCCAGGTGTGGTCCTCCAACCAGTAGCAACCTTGCTATCACTTGGGGACTTGTCAGAAGTATGGCATTTGGATTCTGATCCTGATTTAATCAATCAGAATCTGAATTTTAACAAGATCTTTGGGAAATCTGTACGTACTGAAGTTAAAGAATCACTGCACCTTAAGGAACATTCTACATAGATGGGACAAAATCTCAGCCTCAATGCATTGCCTATAAACAATTCCACAAGTGGGTGAAGTTCTCTTCATCCTTGGGACAGGAAGTCCCCACACGAGTCAGCAAAAAAGGGCCCAGATCAGGAGCTGGAGATGCCCCAGGACAGAGGGG